ATTCGAGGCAGAAATATTTTTTAGTACAATTATTTAGAGTGTTTTTTATATTATACTCATTGGTCGATTTATATTTTTTTGAACTATGTATTTTGATTTACTATTGAAACCAATTATTTAAATTTTTTATTATTTATTATAATACAGACTTAGTAAAATAATCTTGCATTGAATTAATAAACATAATTGTGATTTCAAATTACTCTATTTTCTAAAATAAATACGTTTGATAGATGATATTTTACTTCTTTTTTGCAGTTTTTCTTTTTATCAGAAATTACCGGGAAAATTTAAATAAAATCATTTCAAAAAATCATATTTTTCCAATTTTCGATCTAATAAGGAATTTGGTAATTGCAAATTGACTACATAAAATTATTTGCAAAAAAAAAAAAAAGAACCAAACATCAACATTTACAAAAATAAGCGTTTTAGAATATTTCAAACATTAAATGCTTATAAAATGATAAAATGGTTTATGGTTAGCATTCCGTATAGCTTTCAAGCCATAAAATATAAGAAAAAAAAACAATATCGTATAATATAATATATCAATCATCTACATGAAGTATAAAATTATAAAATATAACTAATTAAAAAAATAATATAAACCTTTACCCAAAAAAACTTACTCAAAACTAATAAAAACTTATGATTTATTTTTAAAAATGTCATTAATTTTAATTTTTTTTTTACGCAAAATAACATTTTCTAACAATATAAATTATAAAAATATACGTTAATACAATTTAAAATAAAAATGAATGAAAATATCTTCATTTAATACATCATTTTTTGACCATCAAATCACAATTATTTATAGAGAGTTTACTTATGGCTTGAAATAAAGTATGATATTTTTCCCATCAATGATTTATAGAAACGCTATCAAAGAAATTGTACACAAAAGACGAAAATAACAAAAAATCAATAGTTTGGTTTTCAATAATATTTGTATATAAGTAATTTTTAATAGACAGACTAGTCATAATATAGATATTATTATATAATTTAATGTACATCAACAAATATGATATATTATCTATATATTATTTTTTAAACCAAAATAAGTAAATTTTAGTGTATTAATAATTATTTCTTCTTTAAATTATTTAAAATATGTATAACGAATGTTGTATAAAAAAAATATTGTATAACGGCTATTTTATTTCTTCTTTTATGAATATTATTTTCTTAATTTCCATCAAAGAATTAAATTCCTTGAATCTTTATAAAAGTTGAGCAACATAAACAGGATACTTTTACTTTAAATTTCAGTTTAAATATTATTCACCGTTTCATCGGTTACTTAGTATGAATGTAATGTATTATTTATATACTTTTTTATACATTTTAAAAACTGAAAACAAAATTAAAATTATAATACTGACTTTTAAATGTAAGAATAAATAGATAATACACCAAAGTCATATATTATTGTTATTTAGTAAAAAAAATATTAATATATTTAGGTATATTGATTCATATTATATTAATACTATATTTCATTAAATATCGTACGTTAAATGGATTATAAATATTTTTATATTCTTTTCGATTTAGTAAATGTGTAAGTCATATTGATTTCTAAAACATAAAAATTGTTGTATAAAAGTTTGAGGCGATGACTAAAACTTCGAATGAAAATATAGAGTATTTTAAATACTTTTATCCACAAGGTGTTTCATAATACGTCTTTTTTTTTTTTTTTATATCAGATCATGTTTCTTTTTAAACATAATCTTTATTATCACTACTACATTATCAGACTCATTTTGTGCACACTCATGTATATAGTCAACCAGATAAAATGATCAACAATAAATTTAACACTTACTATTTACTGCTTAAAACCGAAATTAATTAATAAATACACGCCCGTAAATATGCAAGTTCTGCTGTTAATTTCAATACTTAAAAACGCATTAATATCCATTTTATAACAGCTCAATTTTAAAACTAAAAACTATTTATAAACTGAGGAATAAATACGTAAAGAAACATCGAATACTGCAGATATACAGTAAAAGTAAACATTTTAATGTGACGATATTACAATAATTATAATTTGACAATTGTTATCCCGTCAACAGATGTTTCAACGTGTGTCTACTTAAATCTTTAATCGGCTTAAAGTATCAAAAACTTCTTTGGTAAACATGTCTGCGGTCTGAGATCTATTATTATAATTGCACAAAAACATTACCAAATATTTGACTAGCCAATTGTTAAATTGTCATTGTTTTTAATTTTCAATTTGAAAACAACGTTTATTTAACCAATATATTAGTCTGACAGGAATTTTTTCATATCATAAATATTTTTGAAAAGTATTTATAAAAAAAATTAAATAAATAATTAATCAATGATAATTGGTTAAATATTTATGGGGTGGTGTTGGGAAACTCACTGTTGTCTTTTGACGCTAGGGTTAATTAAGCAACAATATGCATTCCAAGATAGGTGATTTTAGAATTTAATCACAAACCAGGGTTCTATGTTACGTATACAGTCCTCTCAAATTCCCAATATAGTCATAGACTAAAGCTGATAAGAGTTAAATAAAATAGGATTCAAAATATTATAATTTAAATAAAGCAACATTTAAAATAGGTGACGAAAATAATATTTTTCTGATGTTTTTATCCATATATTTAAACTAAACAATAATTATCATCTTTATTCAAAATAAGAGTGTTAGAATTTAAAATTAACTATATATTTAGGTTTTAATGAACGTAAAATATATTATATAGAGGCAGTAAATAAATGTTGACATTTTAACGGGCATAAATACAAAATGTTTAAACAGAAACGATTATTTGGTGGTATTACAGTTTTCCCCAAAGGATCAGTGTAGCACGGAAATGGAAATTTACTCTATACGAGTACAGTTATGTTAGTGTCATAAAAACCTCAAGGCAAAAGTTTCCCTGGGGCAAAATTTTCATTATTTTCATTCTTTTTTTTTGTCTTTAGAAATCTACCTTGAAATTCACAAATCCACTCTAACCTTTTGTGGCTTGTTTCTGTTTTTTGACGACTGAAACTTTTTCGCACCGATTTTTCCCTCGTTTCTAATTCTATTGTGCTACACAAGATATCTATTTTGTACCACATAGTAGAATTTACACGATAGCTTAAAATTATATAATCTACTTTGATGTATAATGGACTACACCATTAGGACGGAAATTCTTTTTCTTGTCATAGAGAAAACAAAAAAAGGAACATCTTCTTTCAAGAGAGAAAGATTGAAAAGTTTATTATTTTTACGTTCGATTTCTAAAAATAGTACAAATAAGACTATTTGCTTTACTTCGGGGATTTTATTTCACTTTATATCAATGTTGAAAAAACAATGAAAATATAGCAATATTATATAATAAGTAATAATGTATTATAAACCACAGTTTGCAGAGATTAGTTTTATTTACTAACTTAGTAAAATCTTAGTGTTTTTATTAAAAATATCTATGTTATGTCAAGCACAGCTTAAGCTTGACATCTGGCATATTATATTGTACCTAAAGTTGGTCTGAATAAGAGATCAAAAAAATTAAAATCAAAAAAAAATAAATATCTAGAAACATTTAATTAAAAATAAACTACTACTATAACAATTTTTATATTACCATCATAAATATTAATTTTGTAATGATTATAAAATGGTATTTTTTCAAATTTTAAAAAAATTATAAGAACTTAGGAATAAAACGTAAGTTGTAGATTGATCACTACTTATCAAAATTAACCAGCATCCATCATAATTATATAAATAGACAGGCTTAATTCAAATTACACACTACATAATTTTTAAACCTTAAATTATTGTCATTATTATCCAATATTCTATATTCTATAATTATAGAACATTAATGCAATTTCACTGAATCTAGATGAATAAAACAAACAAAATATTTTAATAGTAGATATACAATAAATTTACAAATCCTCGTTCTAAATTTAATTTTCATACAAAATTCAATAATATAATATTTTATTATAAAATTACAATGAATAAGTACCTAACTATAATTAATAAACAAAAAAATTTTCAGTTAAATAACATTGCTAGACTGTTAACAAATGTGATAAGACAATAATATTAAGCTTTGATTAAAATATCAGGATAGTTAATTCAAATAAGAACTGGAATAAGATATTAGTGGAATCTTCAGTAAATAGTAAGTACCTAAATAATTTCGTGAATACTCTTTGCTCTTTGAACACATTGTATTTGTGGAACTTAACTTGACAGTTCAATAAGAAAAATATTATTAAATACTGTTATGGAAATGTTTTTTGCATATATGTGAATTTAAATGTTGAACGTAGCACCTAGGTAAGAGCTATTACATTATTATTTAAAGCTTTACAATGATTAATCATATTGTAATCAATGCCGGGTTCAGCAGGAGTACAATGGGTACAATGAATCGAGACCTTAAGTTCTAAGAGACCTCAAAAACCAAAATCTAAAATTATAATTGTCTTTATCATTATTATTTTTATTTTTCTTACTCTTTTTTTTACATCTATTCATTGTATTTCAATCAACATAATTTAATAGTTTTAATACTTTTATAAATCGAAATCTCTATACGTGTATTTGAAAGTGGTGCACAAGAACGAAAAAAGAATTTAATTTTATAAAAAAAATTTTTTCTCAAGGATCTCTAATTAGTATAGGACTCTAGCCTTCTAAAACTTAGATCCAGCATTAATTGTAATAATGAGAATTCTTAATTTATTTATTTATTAAATAATGTACATTACTTTTTCTAAAACTGTACACAATAAAAATTCTATATTTCTACTATAAACTTTTAATACATACAATTTCTAAGTCATTTTATTAGACTTCCAAGTTTATCATTCATGTGTCATATAATGTACAATTTTATAAGTAAACTAATCATAATACTCAATATATGTAAAATAACCTAAAAAGAAGTCATAGAATATCACTAATTATTTTGATAAAACATGAATTTTACCTGGTTTTACACACGACATTCCACAGAGCCCATCGCAGAGACAATGTTTTTTTTTACTTTTACAGTCTTCATCGGACGAGCATTTTCTTAAACATGACTGCCCCTAAAAAAATATAATACTTTTTTAATAAATATTCTACGAGAAATAAAATAAATATGAATAGCTTAATACAAGAACTTTTTTTTTCTGTAAAGCTAAAAAGTTGCAATTAAATGTATTAAATACCTAAATTATTTACTTGGTTATTTAACATCAGATTAATAAATAGTTTTTAACAAAAATCGTATACTCAATGTTAAAATAAGGTGGTATCATTTTGAAATCAGAGATAGATTTAATTACTTAATATAATCAATAAAGTAATATGATTTAAAAGTATTAAAAAACGCCTATGTAGGTATTTTCGATTATTTGTGTTATTATTGGGCGAACGGAGAATTAAGAAAAGTGTATTATAAATAACTGTAATAAATCTTTTTTTTTATAACTTTTATTGATAAAACAAACAATCTGTAATTGCATATTACAATAAGTCTGTAAGTGGAAAATAATACAACGACCTGGACACACATGAATAAAAGCAGCCTCCCGATGGCGACAATCTATAACTTGAACAGTTTAGATATTTGATTGAATTGACTCAGGATTTAATTAATGTACATTTAAATCTCTACACCATTTCCTTTAGAGTCTTCGAGATAGATTGCTTGGGATGGTATCGGAATTGAAAGCAGATATCAAAGGATTTTTATGATTCGCCAGACGAGAACGGAATCGTTTGTAGAGGATTTCGGTCATTTCTTGAACTATGTTAATTTATAAGTTTGTGTCTAAGGTATGGTTTGAGATATAAGCTGGTGAGTTTGTGATAGTACAATAAGGTATAGATTGGAAGTTTTGAATTTTATTTGTGTTTGGCTTTTAAGCTGCTCCCCAAAGTTGGAAGCTTTAAGTCCAAATTGGCATCAAGGGAGTTTTATAAAAAATAATTTTTATTTTTAAGCTAAGATTTGAGTGATTACCAAGTAGGTAATAGAGGGATTTCCGCCTCAAGTTTAAAAGGATTCATTTATTTTTTATGTTTTTTATGTGGTATGCCCAGGTTAGCCGTTGGTCTAAAATTAGTCCTAAGTAGCGAGAGTTAGAGGATTTCGGTATGTTTTTATTATTTAATGAGACATATGGGACTATTCCTCATTTAATGTCAACGTCAAGTGATGATATCTTTCGTGGTTTATTTTTACTTTCTATTTGGAGTAACATGATGACATGAAGTTTAAGTGATTTTGTAGATTATAGGCCACAATATTTGGATGTTTATTTTGTGAGTAGATTATTTTATCGTCTGCGAAATTCACCACGGAGGTGTGTGAATATGTCGGTTGATCAGCTAAGTATAGATTATTAGAATAGGGTATGATATGGCGCCTTGTGGGACACCTTCTGCTATTGGGGTAATATTCGAGACTTCAAATCCTACCTTTGATATAAAATTGAGGTTTTCAAGGAATGATTTGAAAATAAATAATTAAATATCTGAGGTCAGTTTTTTTTCAATTTATGCAATAAACCAGAATGCCAAACCTTGTCGAACACTTGGGATACGTCGAGAAGGATTGCTGAACAGTATTCTTTTTTTTTTTTAAAGAACCTAGATATGGCGTCAGTTATTTGGTGTATAGTTGAGTCGTTCTTATGAAAACCAAAGTGGGTTTGTGGCATAATAGATACATTATTAATGTAGAGAGAGATTCATATTAAAATACATTTTTCATAAAGTTTAGAGGAGAGAGGCAGTAGATTGATTTTTAACGTTCAGGTCGCCCCCCCCCCACTATGAAATAGTGGCCTAAAGAGTTAAAAAAATATTCGTATTGTAACAAAGTGATTTTATGTTTAAGTGAGTAGTAAAACATTCTGATGGTGATAGGTGTATAGTTAAGCTTTGTAATTAAAATTGCAGCTTGAAAGTACCTTTAATTTACACTAGGACAGAGTGTGTATAAGAGAGAAGATTTAATGATGATCACGGCATCAGCGTGGACAATATTGTCATGATGGTTTGAGATCATTATATTGTACCTTGGTATCGAAAATTTGGTATGTGTTGTAAAATGAGTTTCCGAAATCAAGGCTAGATCAATTCTTTTTTCATTTAGTGCCATAATGAGTTCATTTCTATGGTTAGATAAGCCATTGGCGTTCCACATGAGAATGGCAAGAGACTGGAAAGGAAAGTTAGATAGTTAGATAGTTAGATAGCATTTTGATTAAAAAGTCGATCTAGAACTGTAGTGAGGATAGATAATAGTTTGTTTATGAGAGATTTGAATTCATTCGTGAAGTTTGAAGCGTCGTTTATAGAGTTATTTGTATATTGAGTTGCGTTATTGGGATAGATGGCCTGCGTGTAAGATTGAAAAGGTTTTGCCGATGAATCAGTTTTGAGGTTCGACTGTTGGGCGGCTTCACAATTAGTATTAATGTCATGATTTAAATTATTAGCAAATGTATTATTATTATTATTATTATAATGTTTACTATTTTAGTTTGAGTCTGGCTTCCGATGTTGTTGTAGCTTTTTATATGTTTGAAAACCTTTGTAATTTTCCGGATGGTTCCCCATGCAGAGAGTACACTTGGTTGGCGAATCCCTGATTTTAATGCAGTGGGTGTTCTTCTCCGCAACGGACACATCTTGGGGAGTAGAAACAATATCTTTTTGAATGACCGTAATCCTGGCAGTTCAGACATTGTATAATATCTCTACGTTTGTGCGGTTCCCCGATTTTCACTTTAGTGTGAAGTAGCGAAGTTACATTGTATGAATTTGAGTTAATAGATGCCCGCTTGCGATCGACAAAACTTATTGGTAGGTTGCTTTTTGTAGTTTTTTGAAGAATATTTGTAACTTGGCTTACCGAAAATCTACTTTCTTCTTTGGCGATTCCGATCCCTACTCTTGGAGTATACGGATGTATATAACGGACCGGACTACTACGCGGAACGCTTTGTCTTCTTGTGATTGATACGTATGATATTGTGCATTACTTTCTTTTAAGAAGTTTCACGGCAGTGTTCTAGTTTGGCTGTTTAGATTTTTAAGTTATTTGATGAAGATTTGAATACTAAATTTTTAGATCCGATAAAGTTAACTAATTCGAGACGAAATCCAACAGTATGAAATTCTGCGAACTATTATTGGAGAGAGGAATTTTTGTTTAATATTTCGAAAATCGTATGGATCTTCAGTAATATTAGTGTCGTTTACTTGCGAGTTATTATCATTATCTGAGGGATTGTGTTCATTATTCATTTTGGCGTCGTTTATTGCTAGAAGGAAAATTTATTAACTGTTGCAAACATTTTCTTAGACCCAGGAGAGTCTGTCGATGAATAGTTACTTTTGGCGTTGTTTTTTAATTTAGGAAATATAAATTTTACCTTATCTGTTTCAGCGGTTGAAGTAAAGACATAATTTGTTGCACTCTGTAGACGATTTCCAAGAGTTTTATTTGGAGATTATTGATTGTTTTATTGATTTGGGAGATGTTGAACGTGTCGATTTCATTTTAAAATAAAATTTATTTGAAGATAAGGTCGATAATGCGCAGCCGCCGGCTATTATCATCCCGATAGACTTGTTGTATATATAATTGGTTGATTAATTAACATTTTTAGTTAATTTGAATTTAACAAGGAATTTAAGTTAGATTTACCTAGGCGAGTGCTTAAGTGTGTGTATTTTTCCCTGTTATAACTATATAAAATAAAATAAATTATATTTATATTAGACGTATTAGGTATATAAAACCAGGGGGAAGAGATTTATAACGTGTGCGTGTTGGATTACGTTCGGTTCTCGAGTATAATAAATCTAATAATGAACTAAAACCAGAGGTATTCAAACTGTACATCAGCTTCTCGTGACATTGCGGGTGCTGGAGAAGGAAACCCCTTTAAAGAACTGGAAACTAAAATTAATGCAATACAATCAACATATGTGTGAATATAAATATAGCTTGTAATCATTTGAGCGATTATTGAAACGATAACAAAACATACGTGATCATTAATTTATTTACAGTTTTATTTCATCAGACTTAAGTCATTATTATTATCACCTGTATTTTATCCGTCAAATATCATCGTTAAATGATCAATATGTTAAATTTTCCGGTGTTAATCACGAATTGTGTTCGTATATTGGCTACAATTGTGTACAAAAATGATCATTTTATTGTATTAATTAAGTTTAAATTTTTTTTTTATATTTCATTAAATAAGTATTATTATAGATAAAATTTTGAACAGACCTACACGAAATAATCTGAAATTCGGTAGTTTAGTTATTAAACTATTTTATATAAACTTATTTAACCTTCCTTAATTAATTCTATTGCATAAAATGCTAAGTTTTTAATTGGATTCTCAATAGTTAATATAATTAATGATCCCTTTAGGTCTAATATAATAACTCAACGATGTGGGAAAAGCATTATTTATATTCTGATTACGGAATATATAATGTAATAACTTCTAATATTTTTTGTTTTTATAAGATTATTCCATAAAGTTATTAATGGAGTAAAATTTATATTTTATAAATTAAGTTAAACACCCATTCATCTAAAAATGTTACACTATACGTATGATACGAATACAACAAATAATTTACGACAGTAAACATTGAATTTTTCGAGAAAAAAAAATATTTCTTCTATAGGAAAACCTGAAAATACATAAAATGAAAATCTTAAAACCTGATTACAAAATGAAGTTTACATTTATTTTGAATTGCAAATTTTTTTAATAAAAATAATATTAAGAGTTATAAAATAAAAACCTAATGGTATAAATTAGTAATTTGTTATTCTTGATTTTTTTCATTGTTTTAAAATAAATTAATAACAACATCTTGGAAATAAAAGAATTGGATACTATAAATAATTTAAATAATTAAACGGATAACAGTTATTTAGAAGTTAAATTATTTTATATATATATTTATACATGTATATATGTATGCATATTATTTATTATTTAAATTATGCAATGATACTTTAAAAGTTTAAAAAGACAAACATTAGGGGTTTATGATTGTTTTTAAACAATAATAAGTTATTATTTTTGAAAATGTCATGCTTAGTATGGTTTAACTATAATTTAAATACTAAATTAAGCTATTAAACACAAAATTTCTAATTTTATTAAAATAAACATGAAATGATGAATGGCAAATAAATCATTATTTATAAATTTGTTTTTAATCTTTTTTTTAAGCTTGTAAAACCCATGGAAAATTATAAAATAATTTCTATGGGTATCTCATAATATTATCATAATTTCTGATCGAAAATTTCAATATGAGACCCAACCTTAACATTTTATCGGAAAAAAAGGAACATCATTGCAAACCAATATAAAATATTTACTCAATTTGTATGTTATTTGGTCCCAAAAAAGATCAGACAGTAATGTAATTGTTAAAATGTTAAAAGTAAAATAAAACATAATATACGATATGCCTACGCCTATGCGTTCCCACCGTGAGTGGGGGAGGGGGAGGATAATTTCTTAGGTAAGGTGAATTTTCATTATTATTATTTTTTAATCATAGATTTGTACAGTGTATTGATGAGTAACGACTGACTTGTATTTTAATTCTTGATCAAAATTAAATCAAGTAAATCAAGTATTCTAAATTTTCTTCAAAAATTAAAAAAATAATATTAGAAATTCATATTTTTCATAATTTGATGTCATTAATAGAATCGTCTTAACGGCTTAACAATAATATTTAATAAATATTATTTACTATTTAGTTATTTCCTTGTATGTTATTATTTTTTATCGAAAATTAATAATTTTAAACATTAAACAATATTAAAAATTGTAGTAACAAATATTTTATTAAACTGTTTAAAATTACAGAAATAATGTCCAAAATATTAATGATGTTGAATTTCTTTAGCCAACGTAAATTAATATAATGTTTTCGATGTTATAAAAACATAACTTAACTAACCATGAATGAAGCTTGCTCTTCGTTTCTGGGACATTCAGATGATGGCAATTTTCTTGGATTCTTGTACGCTCGATCGTCGTCATCTACTTTATCGTCTTCGTCCGTATCTTCATCGATGTCGTCTACATCGTCAAAGTAATATTGCACCGTTGTGCCATTATACGGCGAGTAGCTTTGGTATGATCTTTTTGCCATTTCGTTTGATGACATATCTATTAATTTATATAACAAATTTGGGTTAGGAAAAAATATAATATTTTTATTACAAAATGAATAACTTTGGTATGCTATACTTCATAAATAGACTAAAAACTGAAGAGCCTTTTTACGCATTGATGAATTAATTAAAATAGTTCTTATTATTTGATTGTCTTATCTTAAAACAATTAAAATAATTCACTTAGCCTTCACAGGGATAAACCGCGCTATTTTAACTACCTATTGAAATTAATTTTGACGAAACAACATTGTTTTGTAAATTTAGTATAATATTAACTCTTAGGTTTGAGTAAAAAATGTATTTATGTGTTCAAGTATTTTCAAATTCAAGTTTTACGTGAACAATTCTTAGTATATTAGTTTTTTTTTTTTTTAATATTTTAACAATTTTTTATTATTACGTTTTTCAGTAAACGTGAATGATAGATCTGTAATTAAATACAATTTATTTGATAGTATGATTAAATATATTTATACAATTAAAACAGTTATAATAAAATAAAAGGTTATTGTTATTAGTTTATCACCTCTTTCAGAATTTAAATTAAAATGTATGTATAATTTTAAATTTTTAAAAAAAATATAACACACAAAGACATTACTCTCACATAAAATTGTTACATTATCGTTTTATAAATTACGGTATGTGTACGAACTGTTATAACACAATAACAATAGTTGTTGTGTATAATTCTTATTGTAATAATTTGTCATACGAAAAGCAATAATAATTTTAATAATTATTATTGGATGAAAATAAATGTACTTTATTGTATAAAAAGAACGTGTTCGAGTAAAATTTAACGCAGTAAATCATACTTACACTAAATTTATCAAATTGATTATGTTTAGCATTTTTAATTTAATTACTATGTATGTAGGATAATTTTTTGTATGAGAAACGAATACAATTTATAAGTTCTTCTGCAGGGTACATTTTGAGCTTAAAACGATTAACATTCCATATATAAAATATATTTTAGGAGTTTCGAGTGAAATATTATTAATAATTACATACTATCGATTGATTTATTTAATTTCTAATAAAAAATGTAATTTGTAAATCGAAATTAAATTTAAAATCTTCTTCTGTATATATAAAACAGTAAGCTGATTGACTGCTATCAACGCACAACTCAAACCATTGGACGGATTTGGCTGAAATTTGGCATACAGATAGCTATTATGATGTAGACGTGCGCTAAGAAAAGATTTTTCGAAATTTTGAATTTAAAGGGTTGAAATCGGTTTAATATTTTTTGACCAGGTCGATAACTGCGCTATTGAAAATGAATTATATTAAATAAAACTATTAAAAAATTATTAAAAAACTATTAAAAAACTATTTAAAAACTATTAATTTTATTTTTGGTAGTAAATGACGGGTATTGCATAAATATTAAACAAAAAGATCCCGCAACAGGTGCCAAAACAAATAAGAATGTTAGTTCAAAAAATTATTATGCATATCGGTTGATGATTAGACGCAAAAACATTTATTTTGAACCTTTAGTGCTAAAATTTATTGTGAACAAAGCTTCTGCCGCCAAAAGCTATAACTTATCGAATAGGTTATGATAATAATCATTATCTTAAAAACTAAATTAATATATATAAAATATTATTTCAAAAATCTTAATTAATTTAAATTTCAATAGATTTAACAAAATTTAATCTTGACAGGTTACATACATTTATATACTTAAACCCGACAACAATGGGTAATTCAGCTAGTTTTATTATAAAAGAATATTAAATCAAAAATTTTTTTTTTATTTAAATACAATCCATAAGATATACTCATAAGGTATTCGTAGCTAAACCAAGTTATAATAATTTTATACCATCTACTTATGAGCTCATTTCAGGATATAAAACAGTCCACCCACATGTATATCTTGAATCAAATGCAACACTCGTCGTCAACACTACACACCAAACTTAATGAAATAAAATCAACAATCCTCCCATGGTCAACCTTACCATTATACAGACATCAAGAAGTAATCTTAAATTGACTCCGAGTAGGACACACATGACTGACTCACAGATATTCATGACCCGAACGGAACTTGACTTATGCTCCACATGTGGTAAAGACCTTACAGTCAAACACATTATCTGCCACTGCCAAATCTACACCGATATCCGATCTAATCTCCGAATTTCCGACGGCCTCCACGAAGCACTTGATCCAGATCCAGATAACAATGGAAAAAATCCTCAAATATATGAATGCCACCAATTTACATAACCTTATATAATGCTATACTAAAATGTAAAACATGTAAACCTTTTATTTTTAAGCCAATAATCTTTGTTGTTTTTGCTCTTTTCAAATAAAAAAAATTAAAAAAATAAAAATAACAACTTTTATAATTATCTGTTTATAATATATATCAACTACAGGTGCATAAATTATTAGAATTCACTTGAAAAAAAAAAGTGCGAATATCAAACACTAGCGCAATTTTGTTTAAAGCTTGACTTTTTTTTCACCACTATCATCATAATGGTCATATTAAAATGATAGTTGAATATTTCCTAGCAAAACTATATAATATTAAAGTATTTATTAGATATTTTGAAAAACGTCATTGAAAGTTGTGCCCGTAAAAATAACAAAAACCCACTTGTATACTTCGTTTTTATTACTAATAACTATCATTGTCCCATGTGTACTTATAAACATTATAATAGTAAATCATATCGGATCGAATTTACGAGTAACACGTGTAGTTTCATCGAATAATATTAATAAAACCTTGAACATGGGGATGAATGCAGGAAAAAATTTCGAGGGGTTAGAATAAATGTAAAATGTTGATGACTATCATGCTTTATTACTCATATTTATATTTATTTATATTTTATTAGCATGTCTCATGGGAAACATTGATATAACTATTAAATTTGTTGGTCAGGTTATATTTTTATTCAGTAAAACTTCGATAAGACGGAACTTCGGCGAAATGGAAACCACGGTATACGAAAAATTTCTTTAGTCCTTTTTTCAAATACACATAATTTTATCCTGTTAAGACAGAAACCTCATCAAGCCTAAAACGGACACGTTTTTGTATTAAAAGTGAATGAAAATCTTCGCTAAGATGGAAATATGATAAACAAAAATGATTTTAGTGTCACAGAATAGAAATATTTTATTATTTTTAGATAACGCAACATGTCATATTTACATTGAGCTGTCTTGCGTGAAAATTCACATGCTGCCCCCCAAACACCACGTCGATTTCTCAACCGATGAACCAAGGGGCTATTTACACCTTTAAGTCGTACTGTCATAAATTAATTCTACAGTCGTTTGTATGCAAAATGATAATTTTACTTCGATTCACCAGCTCGCTAGTTCGATAACAGTCTTTGACGCTGTAAATTAGATTTCTTTATAGTGAAATAGTTTGAAAAATGAATGTGTTCAAAACTGTTTCCGTACATCTGGATTCTTGATTGATAGATCGAACGTGAATCCCAAAGATAATGCCCTGGCTAAAATTCAAGATATCTTTGTTGCACTTGATTTTGACCATTTGATTATATACATGGTTGAGAATGAAGGTGAAAACGACGAAAACTAATATGAAGAACCAGGAAATGTGGTAAAGGATTACAAAACTGCTATCTGCTACCTTGAGGTATTTCGAACATTTTCCTTCACATTGTCCAATAATGAGCTTTTGGATTAGACTTCGAGAGTTAAAGAGTGTGAGAAACGTGACCTCTTACGGAATTAAAAATAAAAATCAATAACCGATTTTTTTCAAAAAATATAATTATTATTAATGTATACTGGTTAAAAATAAATATATAATAAAATATAAATAAATAAGTATAAATATAAAATTTAATTAAAAATATAAATTGTATTATGTATGTACTGGTTTAAAATAAATAGTTTTTAATTTAATTCAATTCAATTTTTTTGAATTCCATTAAGACGTAAACCCCATTACACGAAGAAATAACATGGTCCCGAGCTATTCCATCTTATCGAGGTTTTACTGTAACAATTTCTGTTATTACCGGGGAGGGAGGGTTGAACCCCTAAATCCACCCTGTGTTCGTGCCTGCTTGGATATATTCGTTAAAATCACAATTTCGGTACGACGTACATCAGTCAAACATTGCGTAAAATGGGTACGATAAAATAGTCTATAAAATATATAATACACTTATAATATATTACAATGCATAATATATAGTGTATGGTGAACATGCTTACGAGCATGCTTACGTTTGAAAAAATTCTTCGCAATACTTGAACTATTTTATTGCAAAAATCAAAGAAATATTTCCTATTGCATACGTGAAAAATATCCAAATAATTGGTAAATAAATACACTCTCAGAAACGTTTCGCAAACTAGAATATACCTGTTTACGGTACATAATTGTTTGTGCGACAGTGCCATTGTAGCAATTGATCTCCGGTTCTTTTATCCTCGCCAATAAAATCAAATTTTCAACATAGCAAATAAAAATAAAAAGAATTATAAGGACCGTTGTCGTATTTAAAGTTCCATCGAATGTAAGGTTAGGTTAGGACTGGCATTGTGCCCTCTATCTTTTTCTCTGTCTATTTTTCAAAAAACAATAAAATAAACAGTAAATCGTACGTTGGTTCACGTCCAAACAATTTAAAACTATAGTGTCAAATTCACACACGATTATCAAACCCCTTATGTAAAATTCACTAACATACAAAAAAAAAAATCGTTTTTTTTTTTTTTTTTAAGTGTATAATACATGGTACGCACTAAACCTTAAAATAATTTTGGGTGGACCATAACCCTTTTATCTCTCACGTTTTTAAATGTCACGTTTGGTTTCCTATACAAACTAATAATACAAACGATCATTTGAATATTTCTTAATTTTTAATTATAAAATTGTAGACTTAATTAATACTAAAATTCACTACAGTTAATATTAATAAAAAAAAAGTGAATTAAAATAAAGATTAGTTAATATAAATTCGTATTTTAAAATCTTTTTTTATAGTAGGTACATTAGTCTTGTTATTCCTGAAAACACTTTATAGCACAAAAAGTTACTATGAATTCTATATCAGGAACGTACACAATAAAATATTTTGGGAGGGGTTTTAGGTAATACATTTTCATAATAATATAATTTATATACCAATTTTTTTCTATATAAAAACATATTTAATCATTTTCCTGAATTTTGAGAGGGATTTGAACCCCTAAAACCCCCCCCTTGTGTATACGCCTGTTCTATAAAATTATTTTCTATAAATTACAAAATGCCATTTGATTAAAAAATAACAATTGCATTATTATCCATCCGAGTGTTATTGTTTTTAAAAATATTCTAAAATATTTTAGATTCTTAAACTTTTTTAAAAATAAGATTTAACTTTATTTATCATGAAACATAACATATTTTTATTTTATTTTTTTTTATTCCAAACCATTCAAGAAATTTATTTTATATGGTCGTGGATAATGAATTCATAGAATACTTAAACAACTTTATTTTTCGTTATTGACATATATAAAATAATATTATGATTACGCAGATATTTAAAAATATTTAAAATATAACTGTTCTGGATACATAGTCCGATAAATATTAAGTTGAAATTTTGATTTTTAATTTTTTTTCGTTTAAATAATTTACCAATAGTGTGCACACATTACCCAAAACCTAAGCTTAATTAAACATATACTTTATAGTTAAATAATATACTCAAAATGTTAAGAGTTACAGAGTGATGGAACAAAGTTGACCAACTTAAATTGCTTTGTTTCATCACAGTAAAATGCTTATAAAGTAAAATATTATTTCGACACTGTTAGATGGCTTGTACCAAGAGGAGTGAATGTAATTTAAATTTTTATAGTTATCTAATACCCATTTTCTATGTATTCTAAACTTGCTGTGTTCAAGATCCCTCGGTGTAATTGAAGTGCCTGGGGCAAAGAATAAAAGCATAACACATTTTCAGCAAAACTCTACCTTTCCCTTTTCCACCATTCCACCAATATATGTTCTCTTTTTTATAAGATATTCACCGATTTTCGATTCCGCTAAAAAAAAATCAATTTTAGACTCTGAAGAATTTTCCTGGAAAACTATAAAAGCTTTAGAAAATTGTTTTGCAATAAGTTTATTTAAATTAAAATAATTTATAATAACAAACAGAATATTATGAATTAAAACAAATATTACATTTAAACAAAAATAAAATTGAAATCATTTTTTACTGAATGATACATAAGTTTAACCATACGATTTAATATAATAGTAATAATAATTCTGTACTGAAACTGAAATTAATCGTATTCAGATATATCCTACCATAAAAATAACTACCAACTTAAATCGGATTAAATGAAATTCGAATTCGCAAAAAAAATTCTATAAAAAATTATAATACACGTATAAGTGGTATAGATAATTTATTTGGTGGAAAAAACAAATATCATTCAGTATCTTATTTAGAGGAAAACGGGAAACGGATATTTTTTATGGCTCTAAAATGGAGTTATGAGTCCTATAATTTATTAATAAATTTTTTTAATTTTAATTTATATAAAATATATTCTTGTAATGTTATCTTCAAAAAATAATAAAATGAACAAGAAACAATTCAAGATATGGAGTCTTATAAAATATATAGTTATAGCTTTGGTATCAAAGGGATTACAGTTGAATTCGTAGAATCCAAACATTTGAGATATCGATACTCGACATAAAAAGAATATACGAGTATATGTATAGCAGTAATAATATATGCAATATAACCTAAAATAAAAAATTTAAAAAAAAGGTTGTCATTAAGATTCTCAAAAATTAAATTCTAAAATCGTAATATTTTTTTTCTATGTCTTATTGTGTTTATTTTATTTCTTACACAAGGAACTTAATAATTACTTTTAAATTTACACATAAATATTGATATAAACGAGTAGTATAGCCATTTCAATAATTTAATACAATAAATTGGTATAGGATTATATATTTTCAATAGTATGAATATTTATATAAAATTTGGCTTTTTTTAAAATTTATTCATAGTTATTGTCTTGAAAAATATTATTCATTCAGCACTCTTAATATGTATAATCAAAAGAGTTAAAATAATATTTTGTGGTGTACTTTACTAATTGTATCGAATTAGTAATGAAACTAACGTTTATAAAATCTTGAAGTACGAGCATATAAATATCATTACCTACTTACATACTATAATAGTCTGATTTTGACAAAAACCAAGAGGTCTGAAATGTACTACAGATGGACAATTGAAAGTCTTACATTAAATAAACTGAATACTTTTGTTTGTATACGTAAGTACATATTAGGTCAACATATTATGTACTTAAGATCCGATTCGTTTTGTTCGAATACGTAGTTGATAGAGAACAATCAAAAACTGAATCCAAATAACTGCCTTTTTTCTTGTAACACAATTTTGTTAGAACACATAACTACGAAAATTACTTCACTTATGTTTATTTTACTCGATTATTACATTGAAACGTTATCCAATATAAAATTCTAGTACGTCAATCAGTAGTCAGGACATTTCTTTAAAAATAAATATAACAAACATATTTCGAATTTATGTTCAAAATAAACTAAACTGATATCAATCTACTTAAATATTCTTTTAAAACCACATTTATTTCTCATGTTTTCATTTACATTCCATTTAAAAATGAATGCATTCACATTTATTGTTTATTTAAAATGTGAATAATGCAATATTTTGATTATTAACTAAATAAAAAAAATGAAAACTCCGGCGTTTATGATGAATCAAAAAATACAGGGTTAATCTAATATTTGAAAAAAAAAAAACTCAGACAATGAATTTTTGTACACAACAACAGGTCTTTATTTGAATATAAAAACATAAAAAAAAAAAAAAATATGATTCTAAAAATAAATTAGAATTATTTTTCTCCATATCTAATTTAATACGTTCGTACGGAATTCACATGTATCCAGTTACATTTGTTTTAACATAATATTATATACTCCAACGGCATTTTACCATAAACGATCAACGCTTAGTAAATATTGTTCCGAACGCGGACATTAAACATTTTAAAGTTCAAATGTTATTTCGGAAGTGTATATCATTAAATTTATTTATTTTAGCATTCACATGGCAATCGTGGTAATATTCCGTAGCGCGTTCTACGATCGGTTTTTAAACGAAACCTTTGACCGTGGAGTTTCGTGAACAATAGTGAACGGCTAAACGATAAACACGGTAAGAGAACGGCTGTAGCTGACGGCAAAATGTTATTACCGGACTAAGTCGTGCCTAACCTTTTGAAAAAAAAAAAAAAAAAATCCTATCGGTTTCGGTTCTTCGACGGTTTATCGAATACGGAACATACGTCCGACGTGGAACTATTCGTAAAAAAAAATGCAGGAACGTCGGACGGATCGCCGTTCGAAAACCGTCGAGAAACGCACCGCCGGGGCGGTCAACACGTTCCCGGGTCCCTTAGGGACGGAAAACGGATTCCGTCCGCGGGGACGGGGGCGCGTCAAAACGTACTTACGTGCGTGACAGCCGACGGCGGAGACGAGCGCGACCAAGGCTGCCAGGACGAGCGTCATGGTGGCCGGCGGTGTACGAGCAGCAGCAGCCGTAGTAGTGGTCGTGCGAACCGTAACAGTAGCACGCGTACACTGCCGCCGCAACATATTATCCTCCCGACACCGAGTCTCAACCCCGTCGGTCGCCGCCGTGTACGCACGTGATCCGCCACCGATCCTGCTCCCCCCCCCTCGTTCACGATGGACCGCCGACCCACGAGACCGTCGGCGGGCGGGACGTGCGTTTTCCCGTGTTCCGCGCGACAGCAACGACGACGGTAAAAAAAAAAACAATATCTTTCTGCCGGCTCGCGCGCATTGTCCGACAACGCGGGGGACGTGCTAAAAATTACAATCTAGGACAAATGGACGTAACAGTTTGTACGTGGCCTTTTGGACGTCATAAAATAATATGTTTATAAATCAGTAAATAAAATAAATAAGTTATTTATATTTATTATAATATGTAAATTTTAATGTCAAAAAATATCCATTCAAAGAAACTTCGCCATCGCGATTTGAATTAATTAATGACATCTTACATGTACACTCGAATGCAATTTGTGCACGACTTAAGGTCGCCACACACTGCCGCGGTGGCGTTAAATTTGTACACACGTATTGTAATGGGAGTCCGCACACTGCTGCGGTGATTCGGCCGCGATAAAATATCGCCGCTGTGATGTTTTAAAAACCGTAGCATGCTCGATTTCACCGCCACCGCTCAGCGGTATTTTCAATTGACTTATCAAATATACGCTAACAGTACCTATACTATCTAATATATATGGTGTATATTAGTCTAGACTTCGATTATTTCCTAGAAACTATTCAAGTTATAGTTCAATATACTGTTTAACTTAATTAAAAATAATTCATGTAAAAATAATCAATACAATATTATATATATAATGAATATGATATGTACAATAGTATAAGTACTTAATATAGTACCTACTAACGTACTACATAGATAAATCGTCAATTTATCAGTGACATAGGAATTAATTAATTAACTGTACAATTATTGTATGTAATATATAATTATATTATGTTTATACTGGATAAAAACCGCCACCGCCGCAATGTGTTCAGGTCTGCGATTTTAATATCGCCACCGCCACCGCGGCAGCGTGCGGGTACCTTAACACGGTTATAGATGTCGTGTCTCGTGTATCACCGTGTTTCGATATAGTTTGATAATTATTACAAGTTGTAAAAACCAATAAGTTATATATATATATATATATATATATTGATATAAAAGGTACCTATTGCCAAAACGATAAAATTCGATAAGATTTGATATTATGATACGATACCATTAGTTATGTTATGAACATAAAATATCAATGGTTTTATAACTTATAAATATACATTTATATTTTTTTGGACTCCATTTGTTCCCACGTCCTAACGGCCACATCCAAACGGCTACGTCCATTTGTCCCTATTCATAAAAATTAATAACGTTCGCGCGTCCGAACACGTGCGTGTTGCATCTTGATCGACCTCCCCCCCTCCACCCAGTTGAGGGTTTTTATTTTTTGTTTTTCGGTATACGCCGACTCTTTTTCCCTGTCTTGCAGTCCACCGCGACCAGTGCCACGGTGCAAGGCACCGCCTGATGGGCCTTAAAATATTTGTACTGGGGGCCTCGGATTCCGCAAATTTCATGCATACATACAATTTCATTGTACACGTATATGCGTATATATGTACGCGATCCCGCACGATTTCAAATGCAGCGTCGTACGATCTTTAGAACCGGAACTGCGAGGTAATCGAATTGATTTTTTTATATATAATTTTCTATATTCCTAAAGTGTATTTAAGATGATTAAGTGACCACGATAGTAGATACGGAGAGAGCAGCGCAGGTGCTCGAACGAGCAGCCAGTAAAATAGGTCTAAAAATGAATATGGATAAAACAAAAATAATGGAACTACTAGATGAGGAGGAGGACAACACTGATACGGGATCCCTAGGTTTCGAAAAGGTTAGTGAGTTTCGGTACTTAGGTGCAATATTGAGTAAAAACAATGATTGGGCTAGGGAAATAGGTGTAAGGTTAGTTAAAGCAGAAAGAGCAGCTCTCGCTCTGAATAAGTTCTTAAAGTCAAAAGTATTCTCCAAAAAAACGAAAGCAAGACTGTACACAGCAATAATAAGACTCATACTCACATATGGGTGCGAGGCATGGACTACCACAAGCAATACCGAAAGAAAACTAAGAACTTTTGAGAACAAAATATGGAGGGTAATATGTGGACCAGTGTATGATAATGAAAAAGGATCATGGAGGAGAAAATATAATAAAGAGTTGCAAGAAGAAATGGAAATGGCATCAGTAGTAAGCTTTATGAAGGGACAAAGGATTCAATGGCTGGGCCACATGTGGCGGCGTAGCGAAGATGATATAAATAGAGTAATCCTGGAATGGAAGCCTATGGGAAAAAGACCTCGAGGACGGCCAAGGGAAAGATGGTTAGATGGAGTGGAAGAGGACCTGCACAGAATGGGAGTCCAAAATTGGAAAGAGTTAGCCCAGGACAGAGACAAATGGAGGGATTTAGTGATGGCGGTGAAAACTCTTAAAGAGTATTAGGGCCGTATGAAGAAGAAGAAAAAGTGACCACGATGGGTCTCTAAAATATTTTTGCACCTGGCCCTCAAAATTGTAGTCGCGGCACTGACCACGACCAATTACGATTTTTAATTACATTTGTTTTACTGATGGCCGCATTCATTTCCCGTGCGAATTTTGCTCATTCGTAGTGCCGGCGCTAGAGGGGGGCAAGCGGTTCGACCGTACCGGGCCCTGCAAATTACGTGCGGTCGAGTGGTTATCTCAGGAAACGGGTTGTTATCGACGAAAACCAAGACGGTACCGATTACGCATAGCTTTAGAGTGTCGTCCGTGCATTCAATTGTAAAATTCAAGTCGACTATGATTCGAAATATAGTTATATATAATAACCAGTGTTGGGAATTATCTAGATAAATTTATCTAGATGAGTTATCTAGATAGAAACTACTTATCTATTATCTTATCTAGATAAACTTAATTCAAGTTATCTAATGTTTAATCTAGATAATAAAAAGTCGTATCTAGATAAATTAATTCTAAATCGCAAAAAATGAACTGTTTCAGCCCTGAAATAAACGAACTTTTCATTAAATATTTGTGCTCTTTCTTTTGTCCTTTAATTTAATTTTTTTTTATAATATATCTGGATTGTATTTTTGACTATTTTTGGCGAGAATACTAAATATAACAATTCTAAATACACTAAATTACTTTATTTAATAAGGTGCAAATAATATGAAATGAAAATACTATTAATTCATCATTTCTTTGGTTATTTTAAAAAATTGATATTTAACAATTTTTTATCTAGATAAAAACGTTATTATCTTTATCTAGATAAAATTAATTTTTTTTATCTTTATCTGTATCTAGATAAAATTATTGTTATCTGGACTCAACACTGATAATAACGTGAACAAACATAGATTTCTATAAGCAATTAATAAATTAATATATGTATATGGGGCCCTGAAAACCGTCGGGCCGGCACTGCTCACACGCACATCATTTTTCACAAGATCATCAAAGTCAAAAATTCAATACGTGCGTTAATATTTATCAACTCAGGAGGAGGTTAGTCGTATTATTTTGTCTTGTATTTTCGTAATCTATTGGATGAACGTAATCGAGTGTCGAGCGGGGGAAAAAAAGAAGGATATCTATCCCGCTTTGTTATACCTACCCGATGGTTGTTAGATCGTGACAACAACCTATAATATGTAAGCAGAAGAAAAATAAACATATGTCTGAAAGTCTATTTCAAATGTTTCCTTATGTATTCCGCTTTCCGATACTCAAAACGGAATCGTTTACTTATTTTTATATCATTGAATCTTGACTCGCCAAGAATAAATGTATTATAAACCATTTTATTCGATGAGATTCATGAGTAAACATACAACCCCTATATTTTAAATTTTCTATGTGTTTCTTTTTCAAGTAACCTAAAAAAATCATTTAATTTATTTTCATTCATAAAAACCACTTTTTCATTTTTATTCAATAATATTTACATTTAAAATTAAAAAAAAAAAAAAAAAATGTTTATTCCCTTCAGCCATACCGATACTGCAGTTAATCATTATTAGGTATTATATTAAATGTATGAATGAATAAATTAAAAAAATTTTAATGTAGACTAAATTACATAGTAACGAATTCATATCGTTCGGTAAATATATTCGTAGTGTTTATTATACTACGATTTTATTTTTCCTTATACATTTTTACGACTCCGAATAAAACAATTAAAATTAAGGAATTAATAAAGTGCAATGGATTACATTATTTCTTCACTACAGTTCTAACGGTTTAATGAAATTGTATAAGGCACAAATTCGTATACATATATATATATATATATATATATATTTACTAAAACGTAATTATAAATCAATTTCCACTGTAATATAGCTTTTTCGGTGAAGTGTATATTTCTTATGTAACTGCACAATATTAGCAATGCGAAACGCTTTGGTTATAATTCATCAAAATGAAATCATCGAGAAAAGAGATGTTTTTGTTAAAATAATTATGTCTCCCATTACTACTATTAAAACTCTTAATTTGTTTTAAAGATAGCGAAACATTATTGATAATCAATTGAAAAGTATTCTTTGAATTTTATATTTTATCTTGATGTCGTTGATGCATAGAAAAATACTGTAAATTATTTAAGTATTACAAATTAATAAATTAAAATAAAAAATATAATTTACATGCTTAAATTAAAATGTCGATACACAGAAAACGGTTGTAGGATAAATTTAAAAACAAATTTAAATTTATAACTATTTTAATTACAAATGGAGGAAACTTATATTTTATATAAATGTACAATGTGAATACTATAAATACGATAAACATTTATACATTTCAACTATTGAAATGTACGCTGCAGATCGCGCCTTGCAACAAGAATTCTGACAAGATACATTATAAATACGTGAATTAAATTAAGTTTTTACAATACTTTATTGACTTTAATATGTTGATAGGCCATATTTTATTGAATCCAAAGACATAAGTAATAGATTCAGTTACTACAAAATAGAGGTGAATGATTTTGTTAAAGATAAATCAATATATACATATTTAGGCAAAAGAAAGATTCTAGTTAGACGCTCGACCGAACTCAACTTTACCCAGTGAGCTTAATATCAGTTCACTGAGTTGAGAAATACCTTTGGCACTTTTAGACGATAAGCAAGCAGATATGAAATGTTACATTTAACGCAAATGACGTGTAATCGTGTTAATGTAATAAATGCATAAAAAATAATTTTCAACTACAACTAAAGTGCAAAATAGACTATTCAAAAAAATTTATTTAAATAAATGTATAAATTGTAAATTACAGTTTTCATACGTCAACGATGTATGTTACATTTGAATACAACATTTTTTTTTTTCATTCTTCCTTTTTCAATAACATTATGAAACTAATATACTATATTAGATGTTAGGTGATCATCTCGCTTTACTGTTGGGTAAATACAGAGTTCTAGAACACACACTATTATTATATATATTTAAGACAATGACAAATTAGTACATTCGAAAAACAAGTTTTGTGTTACTTTCATTATTTCAAATATTTTTAAAAAAAAGTTCAGTCATTTTGTTACTCAAACTAAAGAATAAAGTAGAATTCACGTTGGATATTTAATATGAACATGCATACTGCATTATTTTTTCAGTTCTTTAAAATTATTTGTCACTATCAAAAATATATGATAAAATAAAGTCATAAATATGAATCAAATATAAAAATAAATACCTATCCATAAAAAAAAATGTTATAATGTTAAACGTATACACATACTGAAAGTTATATATTTTGAAATGTAATGAACTAATGAATATTTCACTACCATTTTCTCTTAATTTTTATGAACACTTATATTTTGTTCAAATTATAATATTAAAAATAGATATAGTATCATTATCTCCAACGTTTTTCCTACAGTATCAACAAATTTTTAGTTTACAAAAATAATTAATGTAACTTTTAAAATATTTTGAAGTTTTCTTGTTCGAAAAAAGCATACAAACAAAATGATTGCAATGATTGCATTCGATAAAAAACGATTCTGAACAGACGAGGAAATCTTTTTTATTTAATTTTATTCGTTTCTATGGTGATAAAAAAAGCGTTTTAAGAACAGCTTAAGCAAGATTTATATAAATAGGTAATTTATATAATTATAATTTATAATTAGGAAATATCATAAAAACGAAAAAAAATATATAAAATAAAAGAAAAAGCTCAAAAGTCGCTCAAATATTTTGAAAATTTTACCATGTCTAGTTAAGGATAATATAAGTAAATAACCTAAATTTCAAGTTTTTACGAATATTTTTAACCGAATTACATCAAAAAGACTCCCAAAATTAAAATGTCAAAAAATAGCTTAAAAATGACTAAAATTTTCCGAACTTTAAACCGTAAGAAACAAAATTAAAAATACAACAAAAAAGATCTCTAGTCATTTTTCATTTGAAGCAATATTTCTGGTTGGAAATGTCGTTTGTAATTATTTAATATTATAAAATAGTAAAATCGTACGTTTTCTTTCCTTTAACCGCTTTTATTTGGAGTACCGTTTCAAAAACCGAAAAATGACCTTTTCAAAGTACCAGACCAAGAAAATTACCTTTCAGAAATTATGCTACACTTGATACTTTTGAGCAATTTTAGAGGGAGAAAAAGTGTTTACAGAATAAAAAATAAAAATAAATAAATTTCATTGTAAAACCATTACATTCCTCGCTCCGCTTAAAATCTAAAAGGATAGAGTAAATAATCACCAATAACTATATAGAAAAATTAAAACTAAACAAATTTATTTATTTTCAATTTTTAAAATATATTGTTATTCCATAAATCATAAATTAATTCTTAATCATTTTTATCAATTTTAACTAATAAATTATTAACCTCTAAACAAGATTCTAAAACATAAATAATATGAATTGTAAAAATGTATTGCATTTTTAATGTAGGTATATATATAAGTTAAATTATTTAAATAAATTTGTCATTGTTGGTATATATTTAAATTATAACTGTCAAAGTACAAGAACAATTTTAAATTGTGCTTTAATTATTAATCAATTATAATTATTTTTAAAATCATAAATTTAAGAGTAAAACCAAACTGTAACAATAAGTATAGACATAATCAGTGGCGTGCCGAATATAGGTCTAAATGAAGCCCAGGCATAAAGTTAAAAAAGAGTGGGTGGTTGTTGGATAATAATATGTAAATCACATAATTATCGTATATATTTAGGTAGAGAAATATTGATATATGAGTTCTGAATGAGATGAAATTAAATATGGGTGGGTGGGTGGTAAACTAGACTTTGCAATTGGCATTAAAACAATTTTTATCTCGGCACGGCACTGGACATAATAAATAAATAAAATCCATCTTATTTATTATTATTTTTTTTTTTTATTAGTCAAAAACTATTTAATAATGAAAAACAGAATCGTCAGGAATATTGTTCATTGTACCATGTGAATGAAACAAGTATATGTATAGGTATAACATGTGTATTCATTTCCATTTGGATTAAGTAGAACTATAAAAGAAAAAGAATAGAGGAATGATGAAAGAAGAATTGTAATATTTTAGTGAACAATAGATTGCTTCGGATATTTTTTTATTTCACTCAAATACAAATTGAAAAAATTGCTTTAGGAAAATTATCATCTTGTTTTAAATAACTTAGATTCGTTGTAATCTGATTCATAATTATATTAAATATTGTTTTTTATGTACAAAAAAACATTGAAATTAATTAATACGTTGTAAAATCATTTTAATTTTTTAATATCTATTCTAGTTTGTTTGGAAACCTAAAAATGTAAGGAGATTATTTTATCTTACCAAAAAACTAATTATAATATTCACAGTTACTTATATATACTATTTTTACAGGAGATTGGTATGTTACAAATAACAAATTTAAGAAAAAGTGTTTATAGTTCCACTAGAACGGGTTTTAAATTTAAATTTACCATGTTACCCCATACAGTATACCAAAATAAAATAACGATTCGTTTAGTCCGTACGCACATGTAATTACTTATTTAATAACATAGGTAATCTACTCCAATGTTGCTAACCCGGTACAGTCCAACGTACAATGTTGGCTTAATCTACGGTTCGATACAGTATGCTTGTAGTTTTTATTAAACGAACAAAATGTCTGAAGCATGTACTTATTATACGAATCGAATGAATAATAAAATATATTTATGGATTAACAGTTGAACAGATGATAGTTATTATGAACGTTATAGTTTTTGAGTTTTTAATTAATAAAATCATGACTCGTTGAATTCGAATACTGTTTGTCTACTTGAGTATTTATTTCAGCAATAATTGTTGAACCATAAACGAATATTGTAATACTGTTATATACTACGTACGGTATAAAGTGAATAGTGATCCTTGCTGTAGTAATTTATTAAAGTTATTGAAATCACGATGAAAACCTGATATCACATATTGATGTGTTTGTTCAATAAACTTCGGAAAATTGGCGTTTCTCCGGAAACAACTCTATAGCGACCGAGTAAACAAACTTGTAGATAGGAATGTTTTTTAGCCAGTATTAAGACAAGATAATTAAAGTTTTTATCGTGAACAAAACTGAACATTTTCGTCATATTTTAAAATGTTTGGTTATCATAGTGTACATAAACTCAAATAAAAAAAAGTTACCAATGTCTGTACCTACATCCGAATAAATGAAAAAGTAAATATACGAGAAATCCGTTATGATATGACATCACTGAAAGACTTTCAAACAGACAAGCGGAATACAATGAGTAATCTTTCGAGTCAATCGGAACCGGTATATTTTATATCTGATCAAAATCAAAGATCACATTTTGATGATAATATTGACGTCAATGATGGAAGAGAATCGCAAATTTGCAAGTTGGAAAATATGGGAAAACAAAAATTCACGTCCATACCAGACCGACGAGTGATTGACAGAAGTACTTTTGCACGTTTAAAAAATAAAGCTGTAGTAGTAACCAAAGAAGACCGGCGAAAAATAGCCGAGGGTTTGATGGCCGATCGAGAGAGATTGGAAAACGAAAGCTTGGTCAGAAAACAAAAGCTACAAAGCTATGATTTACTAAGAACCAAAGGGAAACGACTAGCTCAGGTCAGTATTGTTAGATAAAAAAATATAAAATAACTTAAGGATTGTAATTTAATAATTAAATTGTATAGCATAAAGGAATAATTAACTTTTAACAGACAGCTATTTTCTGTTAACAGTGTACATTATTTTGTATTTATGCTATATATAATCTCTAGCATTACAATTTACAATACCTATTAATTTGTATAATGTTCACTTACTATTTTTAAGTTAATAATAATTTATTACCAATCATAATTGTTATTTAATCCGTAACAGTTACATTATTTAAATACACTGAAAATATATTATAATTATTAAAAAATGAATAATTTGGTATTAAAACTTACTCATATTTTCTCTTGTTGATACCAATTAGAAAAATAAATAAAATTGATTAATTTAACAAAGTGAAAAGTAGATCAAAGACATTACATTATTAATAGTAAATTATCAATTACAATTATAGACAAAGGGATTCCGTTAACAAATCGCTACTTGATAAATGGTCCAAAATACCACATTAATTCTTCAGACCAGGAAAAGCACTTTCTAATAACGTCCGAAACTATTATTCTACCTTTACGCTTCCATCACTGTCAATTCCTGCTAACAATCTTTTTCAAAAGTATTTCTAACGTAATTTTTCTTTAAGTTCCAACTTCGTTATTTTCCTAACGCTATTTATTATAAAGGAAAAAACTGTCTTTAAATTATTCATATACTATTCATGTATATTATACTGGATGTAAAATCCACTTATCTATATTCTGCATGGATAATAAATATTTATGTTATAATATTATTGACACATTGAAATAATATTTAGCGTTATATAAACTGAATTTCTTTTATATTTAAAAATTATACACGTTAAAACATTATCACATAACATGACTATACATAGAGTTATGAACAATGATTAGATTTAAATAAACGGGGACTATAAGCATTTCTTAAATATTCTTCACAATATCACATAATTTTAAATTATTTATATATATATATATATATATATATATATATATATTTAAATACTTTTTATATATACGAAAATATATATATATATATATATATATATTATATGTCCACAAGCCATATAAAATAAATTCTTATTTAAAATTACATTTTTATTTACAGTTTTATTTTGAAAAAAATATGAGTAGAAGAATGCACATTTTAAATTAGAAAACTAGAAGAATGTCAATGCATAATTTCTCCAGATCCCTCCCATTTTGACTAACCACATGATGGTTATACACATAAAAACATTGCTAAAAAAACGTTATTGTATTTATGTTTATGTTATATTAAATTAATTTTGAAAATACTGAATAAAAAACTCATAATTAGTTAATAAGCAATACTATTTTTATAGTTGGATGATGAAGCAAATAAAAAGTCTAATTATCTGCTGGCAAGAGCACAACAATTGCGACAAGATCAAGAAGACGAAATAAAACACTGCAATTCTTTAATATTGAGCACAAAGTGTCATGCAATCAGAAACGCTCAAATTGCTGAAAAGCAACTTATACAGTAAAATAATTTCATACCTAATTACCTAAATAGTAACGAAAACATTATATGTATATAATACATTTTAAATCGTTGAATCATAAAAAAAAACTATAGAATGGTTCGTACATTTCGAAAAAATTCTGTTTAACTTTACGGGCAGAATACGGTTTATTCATTTATTTATTTATATATTTATTCGATTTATTCATCAATTAATACTGCCTTATTGAAATAACCGAAAAGATTAAATAAATTAAAAAGTTTTACGATTTTATTTTCCAAGACAGATTTATTGTTTCTTTGTAAGGAAATGACTGAAATCAACAGATTCTCACACCAATAAATAAGATATAACCACCATTTTTATAACGTAAGCACGAGTCAAAAAATATAAAAAATAAAAAAAACATAAAATTCGTAAACAACATTAGTTATTTGCGTGTTATTTTTATGGAGGAATAAATGAGGTTCCGACTATAATATGCTTTCGGTATTAAAATAAGACAAAATTCAAAGTGATCACAAGCTAACAAGATGTCATTTTTACTTCTTTCTATTCTTCATATTAATTATCATAACTATATTATTAAGAACATTTAGTCTAAACTAATTAAACACAAACAAAAACCACTCAGACCCGTTGTCTATGGTCCTGATGAATTAGGAAAAATAATTATATTTAGGTAAACTAAAAGATAAACCAATAAATGACACTTAAAACTAATGTTTTATCCGTAAATAAAATATTAGCTTTATTTTCACATAAAGCAATAAATTTATCATAAAGGAATAAGTTTTCCTGTACTTTAGGGTTCACAATATTATATTAGTTTTTTTGCAGGGCCATTTCAAAGTTGTTGCTTACACCTTTAGTACATACAACTATCGAATAATGTTATCGCAAAAGTTTGGTCCTCGGTCACAGCTAGATTTTACCAGCGAATTTTAGAATATATAAATTACATTTAAATTAAATTTAAAACATATTTTATTCAGCATGAATAATTTCTACATTTATACAACATTTTAAGGTTAAACTATATTAAATAGTTCATCAATCATAAATATAATAGGTGGTACATATTCGTGTACCATAATTGATTAAGGGCATTGGCATAGATTTCACATTTGAAGGATTCCAAACAGAAATCTGAGTATCCTAGAAAGACGGATATAAACCAATTGTGCAATATTACTAGAATTGTGAGTAGATGAATTTTGAATTGATCTTGATCTACTCCCTCTTCTTACTAGTATCTACGCATATATGCTACCGAATATTTTTGAATATTTATTTAATTAGTTTATCTTCATTGCGAACGAATAGAGTATCATATTGTATAAGTTTGTGAAATTGCATTAAACTATTTTTATAGTCTTCATTTCAGTTTTTCAGTCTCAGATCTTCTTTCTTTTAATATATATATATATATATAAAATTTACAGTCTGATTAAAAAGAAAATAATCTAAAGAAATAAATCAAAATAATTAATTTTTTTTATTACGTATTCATAATATAAAGTATTATTAACGTGGTTCAGACTTAATCACATAAAAATAAAATAATAAAAATTGCAATGATAATAATTATACCATATTGAAAAAATTTCCGAGGTATAGGCACATAATATATTATTTACAGTTATATTATAAATGTTAACGTTGAAAATAGACAATAGAAAGTGTATTATCCACGTGAGTGGTGAAACATAAATACAAAAAAATTATAGTTATAATTTATAACACGTACCGCAGGAGAGAAATGAAAGAAGAAGAACGTAGGATGGAAGAAATGATGGAGCGGGAACAAGCACTGGCTGCAAAAGAATTAGAGAAAGCTGCGGAAGCCGAGCGCCTCAAAAAGAAGCTGCAAGCGGTTGAGATCGAGAGACAGATAAAAGAGAATGAGATCACCAGAGAAATGGAGTTGGCCAGAATGGTAGAAGTAAGTGCACACATTTTAGGGTTTGAGAAAAAAAACAGGTTCTTGTAGCCGATTTACAATAATTTTGATTCTGACGTAGGTTTTTGGCAAAATTAAAAACTTTCTATTAGTTTTGTATGTATCATGAGTATAGGATGCGAGAATTCGAGCAGAAGCTGCAGAAAAAATCCGACAAGAAGAAATTGAAAGCCACAAAGAGAGAATGAAAAAACAAGCAGAATTACGCAGAGAATTCATGTTGCTCAACGCACAGATAAGGGATTCAAAAAAACTGGAGGAAGAAATGAATAATATTGAAGTGCTGCAGGTATATAAAATATAAGATCTACATATGAAGTTGTAATTTCGGGCAATTGGGTATGTGCTTGCATGTCTCGTGGATTTATTTCAATATTATAACAAATATTATTAGTTATTACATTGTACACTACATAGACGCCCACATTTTTGTCCCTTAACAAATCTTCTACTTCTTCTCCTTTGCCTTTCTCCCAACTATTTGGCATCGGCCACCCTTGACCTAAACCTCTACTTGTTTCGATTTCCTATATTCCACACGCATATACCTACAGCCTTCATATCATTCTCAATAATTTCCAACCATTTCTTTTTTAGTCTTCCTCTTCCTCCTTTCCCTCTAACGATAATTTTCATAACAACTCTTATTACTTTTGTTTCCTCTCACCTCATCACATGCCCAAACCATCTCGGTCTATTTTTACTCATCTTAACAAATACTTTATAAAAAGTAATAAAAAAAATGTACTATGACTTATGACATATTTACATAATGAAATTGGTATAAATTAAATTATTAAATAAAAAATAATATAAATACAAATAATATACATGGTAAACACTAAAACAACCATTGGACGTAAATTAATACGTTAACAATTCCACATCGTAAAAATAAAAATAAATTCTCCTCTTGCCCCGAAAAATATGAAAATGATAATTTTACAAAACAATTCAGAAATAGGTTGAACACTTAAACCCCCCTTTTTGTTCGTGGCAAATAATCTTCCGAGATTATTGTCTCCGGACAATAACGATAAGTATACAAATAACAAATTAATAAAAACGTCATAATACATCAATGATCTAAAGAAAATAAATATATTTATTACAAATTGAATCCTTTTCGTCATTATATTGTCATAGATACAAGAGTATACACGGAAAAAGAATGAACGAGAAATAGCTTTCGAGCAAGAGCTGCGTAAGCAAAAGTTATTAAAGGAGAAATCCATTGCCAAAATACAAGCAAACCAACAAGCGACATACGATTTACAAGCCGCCAAAGACGAATTGAACGCTCTTAGAGTGAGAGATCAGGTACAGATATAACTGATATAAGTGTAGTAAAGACTAAAGAACGATGCTAAAAATAAACTTATTTGTACAAGTGTATAAAGTTATATGGCATAAAAAACTAGATGTTAACTTAATTCAAGTGAACAGTTTTCCCGAGGGTTGAATGATGATATCGAAAGAAAATTAAGAATAAATAAGATACTACTTAATAAAAATGAATTATTGTGTATGTTATATTATAACAATATTATTAATTTTTTCAATGTTATTTTTTTACTGTTAATTTTTAGAAATAACTAACAGTATTCATAATAAAACTAAAATATATAAACACACTTGTAAATAAAAAATTAAAAAAATAATATAACTTAAGCTTTAGAACATAATAAGTTAACGTAGTTAAAAACACCAAGCAAGTTATTACAATTAGCGATATAATATAAATCCTGATTCTTCGGAAATAACCCTAACTGCATTTTTCCCATCACTAGTTACCATAAGCGTGTGCAGACCTCTTTTTCAGGGTATGCAAAAGGCTGCACTGTCTATCCCCCTCCCTTAAACTGAAAGTTAATTTAAGCGTTCGAAATTCTGGTCTTAATAACTATTTAATTTAAAATTTTAATTTTTTTTCCTGAAAAAAATGACTGAATAGCCATTTCTTAATCGTTATAACTGTCTTCATAATTAAAATTTAAAATAAACTACGAAAAAAAAAATATTTAACACTTGAAATGGTTTGAGTAATACATTTAAATAGGGTGAATAAATAAAAACGTAATTATATACTTAAATGAAAAACAAATTAAATTTGATAAATAATCAAAATTAATCATAAAACGATTCTGGGTACAGTTGAATTCTTAATATCACCAATAATTTTAATTTATAGCCATTTTTTGTTTTGTAGTTGATAGCTATTTAATCTCGCTTGAATTATTGTACTTCTTAATTTCATTAACACATTAAATTGTTATAGCATATGATTTGTGTTTCAAAAATAAATTAAACTGTCTGGGATTGAATATAAAAATATAATAAAAATCATAATGTAATAAAAAATCACATAATATACATAAGACCAAATATGTCATGATTTTTATTTATTTTTTGTAATTTTAGAAAGAAGGTTCTATATTTAGGGTATGCAGTTGCATACTCTGCATACTCCTTGCGCACGCCTATGCTAGTTACAATATATAAAATGAAAGCGAGTTAGTTCCGTGCTCAAGAATAACGTTCCGTATTGGCCATATTTGGCAAGTCACAACTTAATAACTACTAGTGTATATTATTTAACATATAATAATCGATAAAATATATTAGGTACCTATACTTTTGGATTTGGAACATAGTTTTATATTTATATTTACCATTTTCACACGGCTTTTTGACCACCATCTTAAAGTTGAATTTTTGGGCTAAGTAGGTACAACGACGAACATTTATTTTTAACAACCTTACATGTAATATTGCATTTTCCGATAACTGTTGAAGGTACCACCGAACACATTGTTTTGAATTAATGTAATGTATAGGTAGAACGCGAGTGGCGTCGTAAAGAATTAGAAGAGGCGGTGAAAAAGAAAAAAGAAGAAGAAGAACTGAATGCGGCTAGGAACAAACAAATTGAAGACCAGAGGAGAGCGTATGCATTCGAGATTCAAAGGGAAATGGAAGAGACCGAAAAAATCGCTAAACTCAACATTGAGGACATCGAAAAGAGCAAAGAAACGGACGAAAGAAACAAAATGGTAAATATACTATTAGGTACCTTAAGCGTTTGAATGACGCGCGATATTAATATCAATATAAATGATTGGGTGTACAAAGCGATAGTGTATAAATAGTGTATACCTGCACATGATGATTCATATAAATTATGCAATGTATATTTTCACGTACAGAAAATCGAAGCGCATCGTAAAAATCTGCTGAAACAGATTCACGATAAGGAACAAGAAAAGATACAAGAGAGGAAAAGGCTCTACCAGGAAGGCGTTAAGCTGAAACAAGAAGAGCTCGCCAGGCAAAAGATGTTACGAGACACAATGTACAATAAAATCGAGGAACTCAAGTAAATAGCGATAATAGCGCTATAACAGACGGACCGTGTTTTTGACTGCGGCGCAGTTGTTTCGAATAAATAACCGATTATCGTTTCAGGGCGCAGAATGTACCGGAAAAATACGTTCAAGGGATCGTGAGACAACTGAAGTTGCACAAGTGAGACTTTCGGATACGCGGACAGCCATACGCGATGCAGTGTGCAAGCAGATACGATTTTACCGAGAACATTACAAAAGCAATCGTTTTCCATTACTGAGAGTTGTGGGGCCAATTACAAATTGACCGCTTGCCCACCTGTCGAGTAAACCAATTGAAACATTTATCCGTAGTAGTTATCGATTTCCAGAAAAGTATTCAAATTTTAAATATATACGAGTAGTATATTTATTGTATATATTTATTACGTACGTATTATGGAACACAATAACTATTCTACGGAAATAAATTAACCATGTAAAAAACGAGTTCGGAGTTGTTACACGTAATGGTTAACACTGACAGTTATCGAAGTAAAAAAATGGCTAAACCTTCGAGTTGTAAAAGTTCTACGAAATTAAAATGTACAGAATCGGTAGGCGTCTGGAAAGTAGAAACTTACGGAACACGTCGAGGAAAAGCCATTCAGCAGTTGTTTTATCAACACTTTGCGTCCGGGTGACAAAAGACCTTTTTTTTTTTGATACACGATGAAGTAACATACGGTCAATCCAGGTGGCAACAAAGATCATAAGATTTGAATAACGGATTTGATTACGGGAAAAAACGATTACAGTAAAAAAAAAAAAAATTAAAAAATCTGATAATTATTATCAAATACATTTTTTTAAAATATTTCGTACTTTACCCCTTAGTTTTTTGAGTTTCGGAACTTTGAAACTGCAATACCAAACTGTATAGTAATATTGAATATAACTGTTCAAAAACTGTTTTTCCGTAGCCCTTCATTTGTAATCGATTTAATCTGAATGAAACGTATTTTATTATTCATATGTTTAAATATTTAATATAGGTACCTACATAGCACAAATAATTTACGAAATATGGTCTATAATCTTATCATTTCGTACGGATGACATAGAATCCGATTGAAATTTAAAATAGCTTTTGTTAAAATAATTGTGGACCCATGGAGGTAGCCACGGTTTCGGGGTTACGGTGAACCATTTGGGAAAAGGTGCACGTTATACAATTAACACTACAGTTATTATTTCTTTCGTTTGAATAATTCATTAGTTAACGGTCAATATTGTCAAAAGTAAAAAAAATAAATAAATTTATTGGTTTTTAACGAAGAATTATTTCGTAGTTATATCAGTGAACACAATTCATACATGAGTACGGGAGGTCGCACCAGACCAAATGTCATAAATTCGCTTGGCCCGCTAGTCTCGTAATCTTCCGACCGTACCCTAGAGTGAGCCGCTGCATCTAACGTGCAGGTGTATTTACTATACATAAACGCTGCACGTACAAACACAGCCATACGCCATACACTACTTAATCGTAGGCGAATTAAGGGGTGTCTTGGGAGACTTAAATCTCCCCCCCCCCCCCCCCATTGAAATAATGTAACAATATCTTATTAAAACTATTAATATTTTTATAACGGGGGTAACACTTGTCCCCAGTGCCCCCTCACCGGGGAGGCGTGAAAACATTAGTTCTGTGCCTCGGCCGAAGAAAATATTTAAGTTATGGGTCATAAAATAAATACAATGGGTCATTTGTTTGTAAGCTAATGAAAGAAAATAGATATTGGTATCATTTGATTTTCAATGAAAACCGTGCAACAAGTGTTATCTTATTTTATCGGATACTATTTAGATAGTACAAAATGCACTTCATTATTTCAAATTAAGAATATAAAGTAATAAAAATAAACTGTTCAAGTACAGAAATATGATTCTATATCAGTCATAAGTATAACTATAAATAATAAAAAATCAAATACCATGTTACTGTATTACATAGATAAAATTTATTTGACGTTTTTATAGTTCAGGCTAATATATTATAGATTATACATAAATGCAAGAAAGTAATCTAAGCTTGAGGTCCAGATAATTTTATGACTTATTAATTTTAATTAATGTTGTATATTTATATTAACCTCATCAATAACTGGTTAGCTTTGTATTTTGGTATGAATGCAGTAAATAATTTAGTCAGACTATCACACAAGTTTTAAGTATAGGCAGTCAATATGAAGTTTAGAAAATAAAATAATGTAATTTGCTGTATATTAAGCATTTAATTATGTATAAATTTTAAATAAAAAAATACTATTCATGGCTTCAATTTTCCATCCATCGTAGTAAATAATTATTATAGTCTACAACAGTGGTTCTCAACCATTTTTTGTTCACGGAACACTTTATACATCACAAGTTTACACAGCACACTCAAGCACTTTTCATCAAAAACTTTAGTTGCGCGCAGACATTCAGTTTTATCAATCAATATTTTCAATTTATTTCCGAACAACTGTACAGTTCTAAAACTAAATAATTTTAATCTTAACACGTATGATTTATCTGTATAGAAAAATAAATATAAAGAAATAAAATACATTCTATTTTCAATATTATTTTATCAGACATTTTTTGCAGCATACCGGTTAAGAACCACTGGTCTACAAAATAGAATTTGATAATTGACTGAATAAATTATATTTATTTAATTCATTTTAATTCAACTTCCATCAATTTATGTATATTGTATTACGAGGATAAATATTTTTTAATTCTATAAAACATAATAATTTAACCCTCTACAGACAATTGTTTTTTCCGTGAATTTTATATTTTTATAATGTAAAAATTTGTTATTTAATATATAACTTAACAAATAGTACATATTTATATTAGTCAAGTTCTTAGATTGAACTTGTATAATTTAATAATTTTAGTCAAATTTCCTAATTTATTACAATTTTTTAAATCAGTATATTTTGCATGCCTATTTGGTACCGCTCATTCGTTAAGCTGTTAATGAACACATACAATACTTGTATTATTGTCGGAAAAGAATTTTTCAAGGAAGAAAAAAGTAAAAAATACATGCAGTATATTCATGTATTCCATAAAGAAAGAAACAACCAGTATATACAGCCAATTTAAAATTGCATCCTGTGTGGATATTGATTATTTCTTAAACCAAACATAGATGAAAGGTACAAGAAAAAGCTTTTCTTATCTTTATGTTTCTTGATAACATCCAAAACCTGAGCATCTACTAACTTTTGATCAGACTTCCTCTTTTCAGTTGGTCGGTAGGTCTAAAAAAAATTTATAAATTAATTACATATAATTATATATTAATTTAAATAATAATAATACCTTGGGTTTTTGAACAAACAAGCTTTTGCTTTCATTTTTCTTAGGCTTCTTTTTTAAGAGTGTACGTTTGAAATACTTGTCATCAATCTCCTCAGGTATTTTCACACTGGAGATATCTAACTTCGTCTTGGTGGCAATCACATGGCCTTGATGTACACGTCTCATTGGGATTGCATTCAGAATAAATGGTCCAGTTATCAAGAGCAAACCAGTATCAAGGGTTTTCAACAAAACAGCTCGTTTACCTTTATGAACACCAGTCAACAAAATTACAATTGTTCCAGGAGTTAGAGTAGGGCGAATGTTGCGCTTATGGTTCTTGAATAAACCACGAGCTCTATGCTTCTTCGGTCTATAAATAATTAAATATTTTAGATTAATAATTTTTGAATACATAACTATTATTTATTTATTATTTAATAAAAATACAAATGTGTTACCGAATAGAACTATTAATATTATACCATTTATTTGTGTCCATATATATTAATTAATATATAAATGGTGCATAAATATAAATGAAATTGATTTATGAACTTTCTTTAGCACAGGTATACTTCAATGCGTATAACCTGCGACTCTGGTTCAATGGAATATTTTAAGAAT